GAACCTCAGCTTAGCCTGTTAGGTTTAGTGTTAGCACTGAAGCTATATTTCCTTATATGTATTAGCTCAACGCTAGCGCTACTAACGAGCTAAACTGAGGTCCTCCATCCATATTTTCAGTTGCAGACTGAGTCATTTCTACCTTCTCCTCTCTGTCAACGCTCTCTGGTTTCATTTAAAAGAGTCGATCATCAGAAATTGTCCAAGATTAACCTTCAGGGTGGGTATAGCTCGCTAGCAGCCTCGCAAAGATGACCTATCCATGTCATCATTTACCCAGAATGCTTTGCGTGTAAATAAAATGGCCCTGCCCGTGTAATATGTTTTTAAACTTTTATTTTAAAAATTATAAAAACTAAGCAGCCTACAGTATTTTTACAGTCTTTATTTTACAGTTAAATATATGTTTATTAAATAAAGTCTAATGTTAAAACTAATCAGGGAACCCTTTAAACTACAAAACAAAGATGTGTTACTTAGGACATTTCTGCACTTTCTGCTAACCTAAAATCTTCATGGGGACGTCATTTTGTTTTACTTTAAATAATGCTATAATGTGATTCCCTCATCTAAAAAAGGGTTTAATTGACTTATTTCTGCATGTTTGAGAAATCCATGAATCTCARGTGGTAGCCACYTGGAGCTGRCTAAACACTTGCTGGTACAAGCTCCGCCTATTTACACAAAGCTCCTCCCTGGAGCTTTGTCTGCAGCTGAGCTCCTGCCCCACAGAGCACCCCTCTCTTATGCCTCCCCCTCCCAGCTCCGCGGCAGCACTAATTAGCAAACACCTGGTAGAACTGCACATAACGTAGCTTCGTGATGATCTATATTTATAGTTTTCTTTGCAAAAAGTAGCTTAACATTGATGTGAGTTTCCTTTTTCCATTAATGATAAAGTTTTAGGTTTTTTTTTCCAATTTTTTTTACAACTTAATACAACATTCCTACAAAAGAATTGTTACGATGATGTGTTGAAGTGGGAGTGTCAGAAATGGTAGGAGGTTCTTAAAGAGACAGAAGCCAATTTCAAGGCCTTTAGTCAAATTTACTTTTGACATATACAGCATTGGTATCTTGGAAAATACACAATCCCCTCTTTAGGTGACCCATTCCACCAGTTTTAAAATGTACCCCAGTATATGAGTTTGACCTCTGACCCCTGAGWGTAACCTGCCCCGTGGGAACACGAGCCTAGCATTATTCATCATTTTTATGAGACTTTTTGTCACCACTTCCTGCTAGAATAAGTTATTGTTGGCAGAGTTCATGTCACAACAACCTGTAGTATTCCACGCCAACTAAATCTTTGTMGGCAGTGAGATCTAAGTTTAGTTGTTTTGATGCACTAGAGGTGTTTTTTTGTCCCGTTCTTTTTTTTTAGACTCTGCTTCATGGCTGTGCACTTGTTTTAACACTCTGCTGCCGTTCAGGAAATTAACTTCAAAAGAAAAAAAAATAAAATCCTAGTTTTAAATTCAAAGTGAAAGTTTTTTTTAAAAAGTATGTCTTGCATCTAATAGAGGGAGTGTTGATGCTACTCTCTCTTGGAAAATATGATCTGTTGCATTCACTTCTAAGCCATAACATTATGACCACCTTTCTAAACGCTGTGGGTTATCCTGCTCTGACTGATCAGGACATGAACATAAAAGCATCTAAGAGGATGAAGCATCTGGGACCAGGATGTACAAGACTTGAGCCGTGTTTGTTTTTGTTCAGGGTTCATGTGGATTCAGTTGCCAAACCATCCGTTTGGTCTTTCTGCTGGGCGAACACCTCAAAATTTGTCATGTTGTTTGACTCGGTCCTGAGCAGTTTTCTTGCATGGCTTCATTGCTGTCTTGTTTAAAGTGGGGCTACAAACGTATGGGTGTACTGTTGCCATATGTGGAGGAGGTGAACGGTCTGGAAAGATGTTTATGTAGGTGGTGATTGTCAACATATCATTTGTGGAAACACCAGGATGTAGGTTTTTTTTTTCAACTGAATTATGCCTTGTTACAAGATGAGCAGTTGCTTTTTTCTCTCTGTGAATTTAAGGGTTTTGCCTGATGGATGTATGTTTAAACATTGCTTTTTAAAAAGAAAACATGCAGTTTTAGCACCCGTCTTGTTAATATTTAAATATAATGACCTGGCAAGCTGTCATTGAGGCACAAAATAAAACCCAGAGGCAAGATAAGAWACTGGTGAGAGAAAACTGATGAAGTTGGAGACAGATGCTTCCTGCTTATGATCTTTCCTCCTGTTTTTTGTTAAAATACCCTCACACAGTACTTATGTATTCTGTGTCTCTTGTGTTTTTTTGCAGATAAACCTACGACTCATTTTAGTCAGTGGAAAGACGAAAGAGTTCCTCTTCTCTCCCAACGACTCAGCAGCAGACATCGCCAAACATGTTTATGATAACTGGCCGATGGGTGAGTAGCTCTTGATCATGTCTTAGGATGGTGAAGAATCACTGTCCTTTTATATGATGTATAGGGTTGAAAGTAATGCTAAAGTCCTTCAGTGGTAAATATCAGCAAACGGGAATCAGCTAAGATATGTCATGTTTTGTGAAACACATCATTGATTTAAAAATATAGGTTATTTTGTCTGTAAAATTGTGATATTTTCACCAATTTTAAATAATTGGTTGCAAAATATGGCATTGCTACACATTTCATTTAATTTCATTATCATTTAAAAGGACAATGCACACTAATCAATATTCTATAAATATAAATGTACCAAAATTAGCATAACCGCTAAATTTCATTGCACCGTTAAGTGCCTGTGACATGCATTTCCTTCAAATACAAAAAGTCAAAGAAAACCTCTTTATATTTAAAAAAACTTGACATAGTCCACATGATTTTAGCCATTTTTTTCACATAACTGGCATTTTTTCCTTTGAACTTGGCTCAGCCAAAGTAAAACAGGAAGTGACATCGAAGGGGAACTCTAAGAAAGAAAACTCTGCTTTCTTTATTGAAACAATATCATTTGAACTCTGACTCTTCATCTCACTGATAGAGACTCAAAATAATGTAAAAACATCAGATTTTTCTCTGGTATGCGTTTCGTTTACATGCAGACATTCCCCTTTGACATCACTTCCTGTTAATTCGCAGCCAAATATCTCAACAACTGTTCATCTTAGTAGCTTGAAACTTTTCTTACAATGTGCTACCAATGTTATCTTRCAAAAGATGCWTTCATATTTATTACAAAAAGTTTGATGTCACAGGCACTTTAAGGTTAAGTACCTTTTTATGCCCWAATAATTAAGATCTGTGGCTTAGAAACAGGATTGGAATATATTTTCATACAGTTTAGGTAATCCAAATCTATGGGACTTGACTATAGAGTTACTTAAAAACATAAAAAAACATTATTTGTATATTATTTTGATTAGCTCTAAAATAATCTCTAATCTACAGATTGTATGACAGATCTTTATAAATTGTAATGTGTCTGGAGTTTACCTTCTGTCCTAACAGTGCTTCTAGTTTCAGCAAGCTGTTTTTTTTTTTCCAAGTAAGAAAAAGACAAATAAAGCTATAAACAGACTGGATGAACTATACCACAGATTTCAACACTGTTTCAACCCTGAGTTCAGTAAAGTGTGCGGAATTCAGTCACATTAAAGTTTATTGAGCGGTTACATAATGCTTTTAACAGATCTCTACATCTAATTATTGTAATAATCCTTGAAGTCTTCACAAGTGTTAAATGGTGAAGTTCCTGTCCTCCACTCTCACTTCACTGAGTTTCTGTTAAACTATCAGGCTCTAAAAGTGAAAGTTTGCAGATTTCTAACCATGAGTTTGTCGCATGGTTTTACATTTTAGTTTGCTTATTTTGTTTTGTTTTTTTGAGAGGCGATCGCAGCACGTAATTTGAATAAACACGATCCTGTTCCACATGAAGCTGGGTGAAGCATTGTGGAAAACGGTCAGATCTTTGGTGTTGGGTAACTGGTGTGAACTCCTTATAGCCTGATTATCATCGCTGAAAGGAATGTGGGATGTGAGTAATACAACCTCTCTCTAATGCCATTACACCAGAGATTAAATTCATCTGATACTCTTCATCTTCCACCACCTTCAGATCTTAAAACAACTGTAGCGTTTTCCTCTGGGTGTGTAATGTAGTTCCAGTGAAGCTCACAGGCTCTGAAAGAAAAATTGAAATTAAACAAATGAGGTTGAATTCTCCTCGACAACAGGAGCTTTCTGTTCAGAGCCGTCGGTTTAGGACGCGCCCTGTGTTCCTCCCAGACAACAAATCTGAGCTTCTTGGGAATTTAGCAACAACACCCTCGACTTAACTGGAGACAAACATCTGGTGACCAGACTGCTGCAGCTTCCTCTCTGTTTATTTATTTATTTATTTTACTTATGTCTCCAGCACTTCCGGTCCACACCTTTCTCAAATCCTAAATTGTTTACATTCTTGATATAAAAGTACAAAAGGAGTCTTCAGTAGGGTCTGAAGTTTAGTGAAGTCAATGCCTTCACTCCCAGGATTTTATTTCTATCACTTCCCCCTTTAGTTCGCAGAAAAACAAAAAACAAAAACTGGTGTTCTCCTATTCTGCTTCATCTTCTTGGAATAAACTGCAGCAAGAACTGAAACCATCCAGTTTGATCCCACTGGATCATTTTTAGCACATTTCAAAGATTCTAGTAAAACCCGTCATTTCAAGCCTTATCTTGTTTTTAGGTTTGGTTAACTCTGCTCCTTTTTAAACGTCACAATAATGTTTTATGACGTTTATATACTGTAACTGATACATGTGTTTGTCCTGCATGTCTGTCTCAATAAGGTAACCTGACTTAATAAAAGTAAATGAATAAACCAAACAGATTTCCATCACATTAGTTGAGCTGAACTTTATTAATGTCTCTTTGTTTTCCAATACTTGGAAAAAAAAACATTGAGTCTGAACAATAGGTGGCGATGTTCAGTTATTGTAGTTAGTTCAATTTTATCTCAAACGTGTTTAAAAAAAACCAAAGTAATACAACTAAATAGCATATTAAAGGAATGGGAAGAAGCAAAACATATTCCATTCTTCAAAACTCACTAAAAATAAAGTTCTTCTGTTTCCTTATTCTAAATCACGCAGTAATGATTTCAGAAAGATCAAAAACATTGTGTTTACCTACTATTCTGTATATAAACATATAACAATTACCAAAAAATATAATTGATTGATCTTGCTAGACATACAGCGGGTAAAATAAGTATTGAACACGTCAACATTTTTCTCAGTAAATATATTACTAGAGGTGTTAATGACATGAAATTTTCACCAGATGTTGGTAACAACCCAAGTGATCCATACATACAAAGAAATCAAACCATAAATGTCCAGAAATGAAGTTATTTGTAATAATGTGGAACGGCACAGGGAAAAAGTATTGAACACACTTACTGAAATTTATCTAATACTTTGTACAAAAGCCTTTGTTGTCAATGACAGCTTCAAGATGCCTCCTGTATGGAGAAACTAGTGGCATGCATTGCTCAMGTGTGATTTTGGCCCATTCTTCCACACAAACATTCTTCAAATCTTGAAGGTTTCGTGGACCTCTTCTATGAACTCTGATCTTTAGTTCTTTCCATAGATTTTCTGTTGGATTCAGGTCAGGTGATTGGCTGGGCCATTCCAGCAGCTTTAGTTTCTTTCTCTGAAACCAACTGAGAGTTTCCTTGGCTTTGTGTTTGGGCTCATTGTCTTGCTGAAATGTCCAGCCACGTTTCATCTTCATCATCCTGGTAGATGGAAGCAGATTTTTATCAAGAATGTCTCTGTACATTTTTCCACTCATCCTTCCTTCAATTATTTGAAGTTTGCCAGWACCATATGCTGAAAAACAGCCCCACACCATGATGTTCCCACCTCCAAACTTCACTGTTGGTATGGTGTTTTTGGGCTGATGTGCAGTGCCATTTGACCTCCAAACATGATGTGTATTCTGGCATCCAAACAGTTCAATGTTGGTCTCATCTGACCAGACTATATTCTCCCAGTATTACACAGGCTTGTRTAAATGTTGTGCAGCAAACTTTAAAGGAGCTTCAACATGCTGTTTCTTCAGCAGTGGAGTCTTGCGTGGTGAGCGTGCATACAGGCCATGGTGGTTCAGTGCATTACTTATTGTTTTCTTTGAAACAAWCGTACCTGCTAATTCCAGGTCTTTCTGAAGCTCTCCACAAGTGGTCCTTGGCTCTTGGACAARTCTTCTGATAATTCTTTTCACTCCTCTGTCAGAAATCTTGTGAGGAGCACCTGGTCGTGGTCGGTTTATGGTGAAATAATGTTCTTTCCACTTCTGAATTATGGCCCCAACAGTGCTCACTGGAACCTTCAGAAGTTTAGACATTCTTCTGTAACCGATGCCATCATTATGCTTTGCAACAATAAGGTTGTGAAGGTCTTGAGAGAGCTCTTTATTTTACCCATCATCAGATGGTTCTTGTGTGATACCTGGCCATCATTTGGGACTGAACCAGCTGATATTAACTTGCACTGACAAGGGGCAGGCTTGCTTTCTAATTACTGAGAGTTCAGCTGGTGTCTTGGCTTTCCATGCCTTTTTACACCTCCCTTTCTTCATGTGTTCAATACTTTTTCCCTGTGCCATTCCACATTATTACAAATAACTTCATTTCTGGACATTTATTGTTTGATTTCTTTGTATGTATGGATCACTTGGGTTGTTACTGACATCTGGTGAAAATTTCATGTCATTAGCACCTCTAMTAATATATTTACTGAGAAAAATGGTGACGTGTTCAATACTTATTTTACCCGCTGTATTTATCCTTTTTTCATCAAACTCTGCATTACTACCATTAGACTACACATACATCTTCACACAGATTTACAAATCTATATAGAGTTATGTATGTATTCATACATACATATTTTAAAAATGGAGCCAAGGAAGTTACTAAAGAAAATGGAATCCAGTATAAATTCACTCATTTGGGCAAGTTTCTGAGGTTTTGAGAAAACAGGGTGGTCTCTCCTCTCCAAACTGAAAAAATGGAAGATAAAAAAAGGTCAGCTACAAGCACATTGTTAAGAGTTGAACAATACACCAGTCACCAGTGCTTTTCATGAATCTGAAGAAAAACATTTCTGTAAGCTTTATCAACGAGCAATCGACTGGACGTTTAAGAATACACGAGATGACCACTTTTATTTATTTATTTATTTTTATTTTAGATATGTGAGATTTTATGTTTTGTACATAAAATTACTATTATTTTTTAATAGACTGGTAAACACATTTAAATATCTTGTAAAAGCATTTAATGTTCAGCTGAACCACAGCAATTTGTTATAATGGTGAAGGTGAAATAAGTCATTCATTTTTTTTAAATCAGTGATCATTCAGTTGTTAAATTATTTTTCAATCACTTTCTAATTACACACTTTTTAGGTTTATAAATATGGTTAGAATGAAAAATTATAATAATAAAAAAATGGAAAAAGCTCAATTTAGAAAAATAAAGACAAAAAACTGAATTTTGGAAAAAATAAAACGGTTGTCATTTAGCCCATATACTAAATATTCTGTATACTGTATATATATTTTTAAAAATGGTAGTTTTACACCTTTCTTTAAACTTCCTTATGTTTGGACCTTCCTGGACATCCACAGTTTTAATTCACCAATGAAAATACAAAAAACATTTATGCAATAGGCAGCATTATTTTCCACATTTGCATAGATTATACCAAGAAATGTACGTGTTGGATAAACATGAGACTAATATGAAATGAGAAACCGAATGTTTCTTCCTGACCCTCTCCTTCCATCTGCTTCTTTCTGTTTCTGTCAGACTGGGAAGAGGAGCAGGTCAGCAGTCCAAACATCCTGAGGCTCATCTACCAGGGACGTTTTCTACACGGCAACGTAACACTAGGAGGTGAGAAAACACCGGAGCTACGCCGCCCAGACAAAAACCGCTCGCTCGCTCCGGGGCGGGGGAAGGAGTGCGCGCGAAGTCACGGCAGTGCGCTGTGCTGGAACGTTCTTTGCTGTCCTCATCTTTTTTCCCCGAGCCGCAGAACAGAGGCACCTCAGTGCTCCGGACAAGCCTGCTTTGACGGAGGAAAGGGAGGAGAGAGGAAAGAGAGAAAAAGAGGACGAAGGAGGCTGGTCAGGAAAATGTGGGAAAACTGGCTTCAGGATGGACAAAGAAGCAATGGAGACAAGGGGGGCGGTGTTGAAAGGAAGAAAAAGGATGCCCTTTTTTTAGTGGGGGACTCACCCACTTATCTCTAGCTTTTAGGCTTTTTTATCTGCCTAACCTGATTTTGACTTCCCTCTTTTTGGTGAATAATCTGGTTATAACTCTTCCCAACACATTTACGCTCATCCCATTAGTGCCGTCCATCAGGTAACAACATTATTGTTAGTCTAACTTGTATAGGTGAAGAGGCAAAATCTTGTTACAGTTGAGGCCTCCTCCAAAAAAAATCCCCGTAGTTCCCAAACACAAGACGAAAATGTGCTCATTACTGTTKGCTTCAGGTAACAATTCTGAGGTCAAATGAACCAACCAAGAGATTTAACTGTCAGAAGCTGTTTTCACTCATGAACTGCAGGCCTGAAATGTTCCAGGGATGTCCCTGAGCTGGGGGATTGGGAGATGCATATGTGTGCAGGTTTTTGCTCCAAACTCCTGCTGTAATATTTTTTTTCTCTACTTAACCCTCTGTTTAAGTGGCCAGAAAATTGAGAAAATGTGCAAAAACACGAGCATTTTGGAGCGTTTTCTCCTAGTCTGGAAGTTTGTCTGCTGCAAGAAGAGAGAGACAATTAAAACCAGCAATTCTCAGGAACTCCAGTCCCACCAGATCTAAGCCTGTTTGTAGTCTCTAACAGCTCGCGGTGTCAGATGACACGGTTGAGATATAGAAAACTGAAATATGAACACCTATAAGAGTCATTTGTTTGAAGATGAAGTGAAAAATATACGAAGACTTGTTATTTTTTCTCTCATGCACAGATAACTTTAAAGTAACCATTAGTGATGCAGTTGGATGGACTTGACTGGATCCTTAATTAAAACAGTCAGCTTATTGGGTCAGCAGCATTAGCATGGGCTGCTGTCATGAAGGATAAACTAATTGGACGGTTTTGGGTTGTAGAAAAATTTAAAAAACCAATTCTTGAACCCAGGGCCGGTCCTAGCCAAGATACAGAAACAATACAAATCATATGAAACAGAATAGCAGACATCTACCACAGGGATTCTTGACCTTTTTGACCCGGGGGTCCAATTTGTTCAACATAAAGTGACAAGAGGCCCAGTCACATATTACCATATGGATCAAAAATGATAATTATTCCAAATCTTGGTTTAAAAATATAAATATTCTAAATTTTGGATTAATTTGTATTGTATTTGCATTATAACTAAATAAAATACACACAGTTTAAAAGTAAAACTCCTGTCAAATAATCACAAGATATGATTATAACAAACTGTTTTTTTTTTTATATTGTAACCTACCCACAACAATTATTTGAACAAATACAACAGTCAGTCAACAGACCACTCAGGCTAATCAACACAAAATAACATTTTTTAAACATAAACAATAACAAAAATAGACAATTCAATAAATAAAATTGTGCTAATAAAATAAATACATTAAAAAACATTTAATGTATAAATGTTCCAAATAAAAAAAAGTAAAAATAAATTTGATAAAGTGCAAATGAAAATAAAGCCTTTTTAAACTTTTGCATGGTAGAACCAGAAGCTGCTTTACATATTAGTGACAGACAATAACAGTAACAGCTTTTTGACAAAATGCTTAAAAATAAATGACAAAAATTAATATGATAAAGTAAAAATTAAAAATAAAGTTGTATCTGCAACAGTATTTGATAATGTTTTGAACTTTTAAAATATGGCATGGTAGAACCAGAAGCTGCACTTCATATTAGTGACAAACTTTGGCCTTTTTTGATGGGTTACCTTCATTTTTGCTTCTACTTTTAATTTAAAAWAGGTTTCCATTCTCAGCAGGTTTCTAASGTTCTTCTTCTACATATTAAAAAAGTTGTTAAACAACTGGGTGGCGCACTACRGCTACTAGTGGTGAGAAAYTGATTTGCACCTTATTTAAAATCAATGCGGCCATCTGCAGCCCAAAGTTAAAAACTGTTGTTCTTTTGGCCATGGGTTAAGAATCTCTGGTCTACCACATACCTGCTAACACCTGCAGACAACAACAAGGAACACCTGTTCATGTTAACGAGCTGCTGTGGACTGAATCAGTTCTAGGGGGGTCCAGGTGTATACTCCAATGGAAAAATTAGTAAAAAATCTATTCAGAATTAACACTTTTCCAGCCATTTAAAACATATCACTAAATCAATATTTAATGAAGGTAGAACACTGAAAACCAGACTTTAACCTCAACTTTATTTGAGATCATAACTGCAACTTCCCTTATCCTTATTTTGTTTTACACTCTGAGCACCAGTGTTTAGTCTTAACAGCATCATATGATACTTTTATCACAAAATATCCTCTGCCGCATATAACTTCATGAGGTAACAAAGCAGCTGAGAAACCCACGGAGCAAATAAGCAGTGATTATTCTGCAGACTAAATCAACTCTGATAGATAGATAAAAAGTTCATTTGTATCCGTGTCCCCTGGATGGCACCTTTAGTATTTACTGCCTCTGTCAGTGGCCAGCCCTGCCTGAACCCGCTGCTAGATTATTGAAATGATTTCCTTTAATATGGGAGAGAATAAGTGAGGTCTGCAGCATTAAAGAAGGCTGTAAACGTCAATGCCCCGTCACAAATACACCAGTGTCTTAATGTTTTGCCTCATGTACAAAAACGTTTGAGGTTTTCATATCTTAACAGTGTAATTGCTGATAAAAGATAATATGGATGGGCTTTCTGTTACTTATTTTTTCCAGTTTATCAGTGGAGAACATGTCATTAATGTCCCTGAATCAGATGCAGATTCATGTCAGGCTGTTGTAGATGATGATTCAGCAGCACAGCGACCCGTCACTCGTCTATTTTGACGCCTACAGAAGCGGAAGCGCGGTCGCGTCTGTTTTCATTTCTACGCGGGTCTGAAAAGCCACCGAAGAGCGAAGTGATAGTGATGTTGGATGACACTGCACAGACTCAGTGTGACCTTTGCATCCTTCATGTTTCTCTCCTCTGCTCTCATTTCTTAGCTCTCAAACTGCCCCTGGGGAGGACCACCGTGATGCATTTAGTTGCCAGAGAGACTTTGCCCGAGCCAAATTCCCAAGGTAACCAGCTTTCTTTCTTTCTTTGTTTTTCCTGAAGTCTTTTCACAAGCTGGAAAACTTAAAATGTTCTGCTTCCAGCAACCYTTATTTATTTCTACACATGGCTTCTGTTTCAGGAGCAGCCACTAGTGCAAATAATTGGCTCCTTTAGGTGTATCCCCAAGATACAGCACATTGTGCAGAATGTCGAGCTGGAAACCAAATCCCAGTGGACGACAGSATTTCTTTTTTGTGACTCTAATTTGATTTTAACTGTAGATTACGTCCAACAAATCTTTATTTTGRTATGCATGTTGGAGAACTTTCACTTTACTTCAATAAAAGGTTTTGTGGAAAATTATTACAAGGTGAGATTTAGTCCAAAGCAAAAAAAATAATAATTTTTCCAATGTAGGGAATTATTGAAGGAAAACTTTTGAAATGGTTTTAGAAAAAGCATTTTTGTTTTATGAGTCAAACTTTTCCTGAGAGTTGTTTAAAAACACGTTTGAAGTGTTGATTCAGAATTGTCTTTATTTCTGCATAAATATGATCTGGAACAGATTTTTTTTGACACAAATCCATAAATAATTCAATATATCTAAACAAAATAAAGAAACTAAATATTTTAAAAGAATMCATTTTTGGTAGTTTGTGGATCGCGAATGTCGCATCCTCAAATGATCTAAATTTATGTGCTTAAAATTAAATAATTGCTTTAATTTGCTGTTTGCGGCTGCATTTAGTTTAAGAACAGAATCATTCTGAATGAATTTTTTTTTCTTTCTTGGGTAAAATCTGCAGTATTGTTGAAGTCAGTGGTCATAATGTTATGGCCCAGATCATAATACAATAGACTGCATAGGTTTCCTGAAAGCGACAGCTCAGATTTAACAAAGTGAGGTTTGGTGGAAAGGTATAAAAAGTAAATATCTTACCTGTTGCAGGTAGGTGAGAATAAATAATTTTAGTGGATTTCTACATTTTAAAACAGCTCCAACTCAAAAATGTCTATTATTTTTTATTTTATTTATTTTTTTAACAAACTGGATGAGTCAATCTGAGCAGAATAGGTCGACACGTTTCGATAACGCGGAATCAATATTTGTCCTCACAATGTTTGCTTTGGTCGGTGTGTTTGTCCAGGTCAGAGGAATCGGGAGAAGACCGGGGAGAGTAACTGCTGCGTCATCCTGTAAATAACACARCTCCGCTGCCAACCTGCCACCTCTTCCTGTCCGTTCATGTCATCAGCGTCCCGGACCCACGGAGCTCGTCCCCTCGTCCTGAAGCCTGTCCACKGTGCGGAGACGCAAAACAGACAAACGCACTCATGTCTGCTTTCTTTTTTTTTTTCTTTAGTTTTTTAAATTTAATTTTTTAAACCTGCACCACCACTTCATCACGCACACATTCACACACAAACAGGACGACAGCAGCCTCAGACTGATCTGACACGAGGAATCAGGGAGCAGGAAATTGATTAACAATAGAGCTGATTTCTTTGTTGTACTTGATTTGTTCTAATAACAGAAAATAAGAGGAAGGAACTGGATATGCATGTGTTTCTGTTTTTTTTAATATTATTTAATTTCCTTAAGCCTTCTGCCACACACACACACATATGCGACACACCTTTTATATCCATCCAGCCAAGTTTGCGTGTGGCCTTGTTCTTTCATACACGACGCCGCCGAGACGTTTAACCACTAAGCTCTGCAGAAAACCTCACGACGACTCTCGGTCTGTCCGTCCCGACCGCTCTGTGTTTGTGTGACGATGAAGCGTGCCTGATCAGAAAACACACACACACACACACACACACACACACACCTTTTTACTGCCCTCCTCTCCATGTGCCCTTAAAGGTCGCAAAAAGTGAGAGAAACCTTTTTTTTTGTACAGACCGAACGCCTCCCGTCTTTCATCTCATTTTTAGCCAAATGAAGCCTAACAAGCAAACAAACAAAGAAACAAGCAGTATTGCCTTGGATATTTGTTTATACACCTCTTCTTTTGTTTTTTTTTTTTTGTTTTTACAGATCATGCATGTAACTAACCAGCTGAGTGATATTATAATAGTAATATTTAAACAAACGGACAAAAAAAAAAGAAACTAAGTCAGTTTTTCTTCTCTCGATCACATCCTGCTCCCTTCTCCATCAGTGTTGTGAAGGATCTCGGACAGTAAAAGAGAAATAATCCTCCCCCTCAGTCTTAATCTGCTCCTTGTTCTTTTTAACTCTGCATTAATGTGTCCGTTTTGCACGAGCGAGGCGCGTGCTCTTTCACCCGATTAATGCAAACGTGTAAAAAGGTTTTTATTTTCTATGTTTCCAATGGAAGTGATGCTCCAAACTAAGGCGAAATATGTGTAGAGTATATTTAATATGAAATCTTCTATAGGACATGAACGGTTTTAGCTCCTGGTGATATGACATTATATTGGTGTTTTAGTCTTGGATTGTGTTTACGGTTAGCTTCTAGCCAGCTCACAGTCGCTCACTGACGATGTCTCGTGTTTAATAGCTGAAAAAAAAGAGTGAAAGAAAGAAGAATCCTCCCWAATTAATGATGAACTGATTTTTATTCTCTTCTTATTTGTTTATAATTTAATCTAATCCTTTTACTTTGTGTGTTTATGTTTTATTTCGCATTAAAGAATTGCTTTGTAACAGCACTAGGTCTTAAAGATTATTGTTTATATTGATCAGGGTTCAAATCTGTACAGAGAAACATTTTCAAAACCCAAATGTAAATAGCACTAATGCTCCCTCTTCTTCTTCTTCCTCCTCCTCCTCCTCCTCCTCTTTCTCCTCCAATCTTCAAAATGGAAAACATCTGTAAACTAAATAAAGGTTATTGAAGTGCGTTTTCTTCTGTCGCGGCTCACTGCTCAGAAATTGAAAGAAAACTGCCTCGGATGAGAAATCAGACGTCGGGTATTTTCAGCTGACTTGAAGTGTGACGTTTGACAAACTCAGCAGGTTTTTTTTATTATTATTTAGAAAATTATGCCTGAAAGTTGTTTAAAGTTGCCTGAAATGAGGCTTGAAACTTTGCAGACCTGTTAAACACTTGAAGCATTCAGAAAGATAAATGAGCAAAACAGCATTTTAAAAAAAGAAGTGTTTAATATAAGTATGTACAATTTAGTGCCTTTTATTTTACAAATAATTTGATTTGAAATAATTTTGCTCTAACGTGTAAAATTATGTGTAAAACAATAAAAGCAGGAGATTCAGCTGCACAATGAGGTTCATTTTTTTTCTCCTAAATATTATGAACCTGCATCAGGCTTTTGGCTAAATTACAAAAAAAACAAAAAAAACAAACAAACATAAATCCCAGATTTATGCTGTTTGGTTCATATTTTAAGTGATGTTAGTCCTGAATTTCCAGAACTAAATAGATGTGAGATTCACTGCTCAACTCATGTTCCTTTAAGTGTAAGATTCAGATTTTCAACAAAACTAGCTTTTACTTGTAGTTTGTGTTTATGAAATAATAGAATATTATTTTAAGAACATCTTGGAAAGACTGGACTGGCAAAGGTTTTGGTTYTTTGGGACGTTAAGGGAAAAAAAGAAACAACAAAACACAGACTTGTTGAGTTTGTCAACATGAACCACTACCTGAGAGACACTACTAGCCCCTCCCCCATTATGGTGTTGGAGCAGGACGAGTCAGTGCGACATCAATCAAATGAGAGAGAGGGTGGAGGCAATTGCATTGGGGGGAGAAAATGTTTTATGGTTAGAGTAGTTTATTTTTCCTGTAATACTTKATTATAGTTTTTTAAGACAAAGCTAATTGAAAGCAGAGTTACAACCAGGGATTACAAATATTTACTTTTTTTCTTCTGCAGTTCGGCGCCCCCTCCAGCAGATGGCGCTCTAGGCGACCGCCTAGTTCGCCTATGCCAAGAGCCGGCTCTGACGGCATCTCATGCTTTATTTACAGCTTATGGTTCCTGTTCAACAGGCATGCAGTCAAGATGCTTTACACAAAAGAAATCAAAGATAAAATAGAAAAAAATACATAAAATCATAATTTGAAGCAAAAAAAGGAAGAAGAAAGTTTGTGACACATCAGAAAAAGCACAAATTTCATAGGCTAACGAGCAGTTCAATAAAGGTTCAGTTTAAGGTGAAAAAAAATTTCTAGTAATTACAAATTTACTCAAAATGTTTAAAGACAAATAATATAATCTGATCCCAAACAGAAGGACCCAATCTCTGAAGGTTCTGCTTCCAGTTCTGCTGATGGAACCACAAGTAAACAAGCAGTCTGAGAAAACTTGTTCTGTAGTTTTATTATGTGTTCAGACCTCTGCAGGACTTCACAAGTGTGAAAAGGGTTGAGTCCAGTTTGCGTCGATTCATCACAGATGTGTCTGGCCTTCATCCAGGGAAGCTGGGATCCTTTGAGCTGTGGGGCTTCCTGTCCTCGCAGGTGCAGCCTGCACGGGGACTAGATTGTGATGATGGACTGGGTTTGTGGAAGCTGTGCTTCATGATCCTCTTCAGTCCTCTTCCTCACCTCTGATTCAGATGAACTGATGATGCTCCTACCTACCAGAATTAGTTAGATCTTTGATTTTCTTTTAGCTGAGGACGATGTTTGTGTCTTTGGTTCACTGGCCATCAGCTCCTTTCTAACAACTGATTATTGCTGCGTTCCCTGCTCAAAGAAATAACATAAATCTGTTGTTTTATCCCTTTTAAAAGAGACATTTAATGCAAAATCCAGCTGTTATATACATTTTGTTGTGTACTTGGAGTCTGATTAATTTGTAAATTCCTCTATGAAACTAAAAGGAACCACTCTGGAAGATGGAAGGATGAAGCGCCTCATTTAGGTTTGAAGAGAGCCTTAAAATGAGTTGATCTGAGACACACAAAGGGTTGAGAGGGGCTTGTGGAGTTACAATAAGGAGGAATTCAGACCAAAGTTCCACTTTATATAGACCCTCCCAACTGAATGATTTAAATGTCAAAAAGAAGGATTTAAAAGCAGGATATGTCTCTTCTTTAAAAATGTGTTATCTTTAAAATGTTAAGAGGGTTCAGGGGTTGCTCAGACATGTGCATGCCTCAGTCTGACTCCAGCTTTTGTGTTGGAATGTGTTTGTTGCTTATTTATTTATTTATTTATTTATTTATTTATTTATTTATTTATTTATTTATTTATTTATTTT